TTCTGTCATGTGTGTCCTTTTTCTTTGTCTCCGAGTTTTTTATGCCTCCCTTTGTTGATAAAGTGGTTTTCTGTGCTAAGTGTCCTATAGGGCCCAGTGGTTCAGCCTCCCCAATTACCTGAAGAGGACACTCTTGGCACACCCCCTTTTGGTCTTTGTGCAAAGTCTTGTTGTAGTTAAGCCTTGATTGTTGTAGTTATCACTGGGAGGAATTGGCCTCTAGGGCAATTGGCTGTGAGAATCAGCTGTGTCGGCAGTGGGAGAACTTCTGTGCTGGAGACCCCCACTGGGGCAAGACTTGCTTCAGTGGGGCTTTGGTGCTCACTGAGTCTGCCCCCTGAGTGTGTCCTTTATGTTTCCACGGAGCTGCAAGCTGGATGGTCCCACTCTGACCTCTGGGTTTCCTGACTCCTTCATCTCTAGGGAGGTGCTAATCTAGCCTTTGCCTGAGGCTATCCAGCAAAAGCCTCCCTGCAGGGCTTCGGCAGGGCGGGTCCCTCGGGGTCAACAGGGCGGGGCTAGCATTTCTGGCTGCTGTCAGTCCAGCCCTCAAAGGCTCTGCTTCTCAGTGTCCTGGTAATCACTGCAAACCCCTACAAGAGAAAGCTGCCCTCGAGTTCAGACCGATGACAGACAGTCCTGCTTCTCCCGTATGAGTCTGGGTCCTTAGAGACTCACCCGGAACTGGAACCTGAGCCTGAGACTTCCTCCCGATTGAAAACGACAATAGCACCCTCAGCTGCCAGCCCACTCCGCATGCAACTCTGCACCTTACTATTTTACTTCCGTACTGCTCCTCCTCTGAGTCTTGGTATGCTTTTCTCTTTCCTTCTAGTTGTAGAATTTCCACTCAGCCAGCCTTCCTTTGGTTCTGGATGATGTCCGTTCCGTCTTTTAGTTGTATTTTTGAAGTGGTTTTTCAAGGCACAAACTCCAGTGTTTACCTATGCCACCATCTTGGTTTCTCCCAAGATTCTTCTTTTTTACTGCTGCAGAGTATTCCATGGTATAAATATTCAACAGGTGTTTTTTTTTAAGTATTTATTTCAGAGAAGAAATGAAAGGGAGTGAGAGAAACATCAATGATGAGAGAGAATTACTGATTAGCTGGCTCTTGTGCACTCCATATTGGGAATGAAGCCTGCAACCTTGGCATGTACCCTTGGCCTGAATTAAACCTGGGATCATTCAGTCTGCAGGGTGACGCTCTATCCAATGAGCCAAACTGGCTAAGGCTGTATCACAGCATTTGAATCCACTCATCTATTGATGGGCACTCGGGCTGTTTCCACATCTTTGCTATTGTAAATTCTGCTGCTATCAACAGAAGGGAGTATATATTCTATCTTATTGTTTCTTAGGATATATTTCTAGAAGTGGAATCACTGGATCAAATGGAAGTTCCATACTAAATTTTTTGAGGAAAGCCCATACTGATTTTCATAATGGCTGCACCAGTTTGCATTCCTACCAGCAGTGTACTAGGGTTCCCTTTTTTCCGCATCCTCCCCAGCACTTGTGTTTTGTTCATTTGTTGATGGCAGCAATTGTGAAACCGGTGAGGTGACACATAATTGTTGCATTAATTTCCATCTCTCTGGTGATCTGTGACTTTAAGCATGTTTTCATATGTTTCTTGACTATCTTATCCACACTGCAGCCCAGTCAGATTTGACACTTTGGATGGCATCAGAAGCAGATGCCCTTAAGTATGAGCATCTGTTTTGTGACCTTAACTTTGTATAATGAATTCAATGGAGGCAGGTTAAGGCAGTTAGAGACTTGAACAACCTCCTCCAGACACATATGGCCTGAGGGAGACACATGCCAAAAGTCTTGAATGAAGAAATAACGCCTGTCAGAAAGAGCAAGTCCTGAACAAAAATATGCAAAAGTCGCACCTAAAGGAAGCTGTGCAGGTGCAGGAGAAACTTGTCCTGGAAATCACGTCCCTTGAAGGCGCTAGAGGACTCTTAGTGTACCTGGTGTGTTCTTGGGCTATTTGCCACTAAATCCAGTTCTACAGTCAACTGAGAAATACTGGATCCTGGCCTTGCAGCTTAGAAACTACATTACCCAGAAGGCGATGCATGGAATGGCATCAAGCTGAGCCAATAGAGGGTCAGAGAAGGCCTTTCCGTTTGGCAGCTTCTGTAGGGCGGGACCGGTAGTCCAAGTGGCGGGATTCCTACTTCTCAGGTTTTTGTCTCAGGCGGTGAGGTTTTCCCTATCCGCACTCCCGTGGAGAAGGCCTGAGAGTGGTGTTCTCAGTCACACAGCCAATGGTCGGAGCCTCCAGTGGTGCTCACAGCTTCCACGTGGGATTGACCCTCGGAATCGCCACCCGACCCCACCCAGGGCCGGACCAGGGATCGCCATTCCTGCAGCGGCTTCTACCCCCGCCGCTTCCGCCCCGCTCAGCCCACAGAGGGCAATGGCACTTGGGGTGGTCCTGGATCCGGCCGGACTACAATCTCTCTACCCGCCAAATGCCAAGTTCATGGGTGAGTCCAGCGAGATCCAGTGGCATTGGAGCAGGAAGGGGGCAGAGCTGAGGGAGTGAACCTGGGGTGTGAACATGGGAAGGGGATAAACATTACCCAGAGGTGTGCACATCTGGAGGAAGTGTGAGCTGATGGTCCCGGGACCTGGTGTGGGGACTTAAAGGCGAAGCATAAACCTACGCTTGGCTTTGTCTTGGAGGCAGGATCTAGGAGACTGCAGTGGTGTTGCTTGGCAGGAAGGCTGGGGCCCTGCAGGCATTGCCCAGACCTTAAATGGCATTGCCCTCTCCCCTGCCCTCCCCCAGTCCTTCCCAGCCAATCAGGCTGCTCCGCTGAGGGCCATCACAATGAGTCATGGGACTGTGATGAAACAGCAGCCCGCACTGGCATTAGGGCCTGGTGTCCACACTAACCGGGTGCCCTGGAGGTTGAAGGGGGAAATATGTGTAAGAAGTAGAATTACTGGTTCTAAGAAAGTCAGCTCTGCATTTAATTGTCTCAATTCTGACAGGTTGGAGTCTCCTTTGAGGACATTGCCCTGTACTTCTCCAGGGAGGAATGGAGCCTCCTTGATGAGGTCAGAGACAGCTGTACCTCAATGTGATGCTGGAGAACTTTGAACTTATGTCCTCTCTGGGTAAGCCCCTTACTCTCACCAGTGACCTGGACTTGGCTTTGCGATTTCCCAGGCCGAAACTCCCAGGGTGTGCTGTTTCCTCCCACATAGACTGTGGTACTGCTTGATTTTTCCTGTTTCTTGGGGAGTTGCTGTCCTGGGGAGGGTTGGTCTGTTACTACTGCTCCTTTCTATTCCTGAAGTCCCAATACTCCCCGCTGCACTAAATTCACAGGGAAGGACTTGTGGATGGTAGTGTTGCTGGAAGCCTGATGGTTTCCTCATTGATCAGTGAGGAAACATTTTCTATATTCCTGTTGGTCATTTTTACCTAAATTTTTGAAGAATTGTTTCTATTTCCTTATCCTGTTTATTAACTGTAGTTTTTGGTTAAAGATTCTTTTGACTGCCTGGTATATTTTATATATTAATTGCTTAGGACATACAGGAACACATATTTTTGCCTGTGCTTAATTGCACTTTGCAGATGCAGATATCGCTCCCCGACAGTGGTGTTTCTAGAAAGGCCATATGTTTGCATCCCTGC